GGCATCCTTACAGGTGCTAGGCACGGTGGGTGAACCCATCAACCCTGAGGCTTGGCTGTGGTACCACCGGGTGGTAGGGGCCCAGCGCTGCCCCATCGTGGACACCTTCTGGCAGACAGAAACAGTAAGTCAGGGGCTCAGAAGGTTGGGGCTCAGGGACAATTTGGGAACACTGACTCAAGTCCCTGCTCTCTGATTTCCACAGGGTGGCCATATGCTAACTCCTCTCCCGGGTGCCATTCCCATGAAGCCTGGTTCTGCTGTGAGTAAGACTCCTTGCCTGGGCCTGGGCTAGGTCAGAGTAAGGTCTTGGGGAATTTGCCCTAACTAGTAGGTGAGAGACTGAATTGATGTGAGGAATTTGGGGCTCCAGGGCATCTGGATAGAAGTAGAGTTGGGTCAGAGTTGCCTCACTCCTCTCCTTGGCTCTCATTTGTTTCTAGACCTTCCCATTCTTTGGTGTAGCTCCTGCAATCCTGAATGAATCTGGGGAAGAGCTGGAAGGTGAAGCTGAAGGTTATCTGGTAAGGCCCTGGCTTTAGGGTCTTTGAGGAGGGGGAGAAGAGGAGCCACTAAGGAGTACTTATTTTGCTTCAGAGATTAGAACCTGGTCTCCTGATAGCTGCTTGTGGCTAAAGCTCCATGGTTGAGAGTTTATCCTCTGCTGAGAAACCTTGGGCGTGTCCTTCTGTATATGTGGCCTGCATCACTAACTTTTGCCCCACAAAGATCCTAAGAGCCCTTTAGATTCTGCTCAAAGATTTTTGATGGTACTTTTTTGGGTCTAGACTTTGTCCCAACTCTTCCTTTAACAAACATTCTAGTGAGAAAGGAGGCTTCTTAACAGTAAAATTTCATGTAGGCACTGTAGTCAGCTTACCAGGGTTCAAATCCTACCTCTTCTGTGACCTCTGATTAAGTGACCTAAACCCTTTGAACCTAAACAGGCTTTTATTAGTATCTTTATCTCCTATGGTTGCTGGATTGATTAAATAATATATGTGAAGAGTTTAATGTAGAACTTAACAGTGTATGATAAATGTCAGCTATTGTAGCGATTGTTTTATTAGTTACTGTTGGGAGACCACCAACCCCTCCTCTCCACCCAACTTCACAGTTTTACTAACAAGTTGGACAAAAGGGCAGGGCAGGACTTGAGTCGGGGGCGGGGGACCCTTTTGACTCTTAGCCTAGAGTTCTGTCCATTCTATCATTCTGCTGCTACAGTATGTTATTAATTGGTTCAATAATTATTTGTGTGGATCCCACTTTTTTTATATAACTGTTTTCATTTTATCAAACTGGGCCTGCTTTTTTGAGGGATTACCAAAAAGGAGACTCAAATTTACCAAGTGATTATCACTGTGCTAGACTATGTCTACACACCACTAATACAATATTCACAGTAACTTTCAGAGGTAGAAGACTTCTTTTTATATATAGTTGAGGATCCTGAAGCTCAGAGGGGTAAAGTTCTATACCCAAGATCACACAGCTAGTAAACGGCAGAGTCGGGATTCTGCATTGTGCTATTCTCAGGAATGGCATTCAGATATTTTCTCCTCAGAGAAAAAAGCTGTGACAATCTTTAAGTAAGACTGCAAAACAGATAACACCACTGTGCCTTCCCTTCTCTCTAGGTGTTCAAGCAACCCTGGCCAGGAATCATGCGCACAGTCTATAGGAACCATGAACGCTTTGAAACCACTTACTTTAAGAAGTTCCCCGGGTACTATGTGACAGGAGATGGTGAGCCTTGTCTAGTCTCATCCCACACCTCCCTCCAAGCTTCCTCTTCTATTTTCTGGAAGAGATGGTTAAGGAAGAAGAAAAACAGAAGTGAATGTATTCTACATGTCAATGTCTAGTGTCTTGGCAGAAGTACAGAGAAAGTCTATATATAAGAGCAGCAATGAGTATTATAGGAAGGGTCGTAGTATGTATGGTGCCAGCTGACATATCTGATATATGAAATGAAACTGATCCCACTGTTCCTGTGCTAAAGACATGTGGCAGTGTGTATTACATGGGTCGTGTGTACTCTACTAGGTACTGGGTACCCTACTAGGTACTAGGTACTAGGTAGTTTGAATGAAGCCTGTCCATCAGCCAATTCATTCATCCATAAATATTTGTTGAGCACCTACTATGTCTATGTACTGATCTAAGCACAGAGGATATTTCCATGTGTAAGGTAAGCAAGTTTTGCTAACTATTGTATACTGACAATGAGGACTACACAAGGGTAACCAGGAGGTGTGGCTACCTTTGAGCCCGGCAGCCCTGAGAGCAAGAGTAGAAGACTTGTTACAAGGCGTAGTGGGTGTGGCAGTTGGTAGTGTGGGTCATGATCTTGCCGTGGGGGGTTACGTTGTAATGTCTTCTCTTCCCAGGCTGCCGGCGGGACCAGGATGGCTACTACTGGATCACTGGCAGGATTGATGACATGCTGAATGTATCTGGTGAGGACCAAAGTCACTTTCTCTTCATTTAGTCCCACTGTCTAGCACCTCCCAACCCCAGCCTTCCAAGAGACCAGACTGCCTTTGTTTAGACCATGCTTGCAGTGCAACCTTCAGCTCTGGGCCCAGGATTTATAGCAATAACACTGGAATGTACCTAGCAGAGGGATCTGGGTCGTGACACTGCTGGAAGCATGTTACGTGAGGAAAGAATGGCCTGCCCCATTTGACCAGATCAGGACTGTGTGGACAAAGAAGGAGCAGGGGCTGGGCAGAGGCTGCAACCTTGCTTATGGCACTTCTTTTCACTTCTCAGGGCACCTGCTGAGCACAGCCGAAGTGGAGTCAGCTCTTGTGGAACATGAGGCTGTTGCTGAAGCAGCCGTGGTCGGCCACCCTCATCCTGTAAAGGGAGAATGTCTCTACTGCTTTGTCACCCTGTGTGATGGTCACATCTTCAACACCACTCTCACTGAGGAGCTAAGGAAGCAGAGTGAGGAGCTGCCCTAGGCAGGGACGGCAGGGTCTGTCCTGATAGCCTAGCTACCATAGTAGTTGTTAGGAAGGAGCTAGAGTGAGCTTGCTCCCCAAACCACAAACAGATTCTAGGGGGTATTAGGGGCCCTACTGCCCTCTTCCCACAGTCTCCACTAATCTCTCCTCTAGGATAATAATAGCTGACATTTATAGAATTCTTTCTCTGTGACACCACTGAGCTCAATACTTTAAATGAATTAATCCATTTAATCCCTATAATCACCCTCATGAAATAGATCCTATTGTTACCCTTATTCTAAAATGAAGAAAGTTAAAGCACCTGTCAAAGCTACACTGCTAGTAAAGTAGTATTTCAATGCTAGCAGGTTATTTCTGGAACTTGAGTTTCCTAAAGATAGATTAAGGTAAAATGAGATGGTAAAGGAACAGACAGGCAGTAAGCCTAAGAATGACAATGGGCAAGACCTTGAATTGAAAATAGATTGGGAATAAAAGCATCCCTACCTCGTTTTTGGGGAATCTGACTAAAAGTACTGAATAAATGTTTAATGATTTTTCTGTTATAGTTAGAGAAAAGATTGGCCCCATCGCCACACCAGATTATATCCAGAATGCACCTGGCTTGCCTAAAACACGCTCAGGTATGTTCAGGGGTCTCAAGGGATTGGGACCAGGATGGTCTAAGGACCAGTGGTGTTGGGGTGGGTTTGAATAGATGCCTTGGGCACCCAGAGTGGGCCAGTGCTGTTACTTGGTAACCAGAGGCCTGTGGTTTCTCAGGGAAAATCATGAGGAGGGTGCTTCGGAAGATCGCGCAGAATGACCACAACCTGGGGGACACGTCTACTGTGGCTGACCCATCTGTCATCAGCCAGCTTTTCAGCCACCGTTGCCTGACCATCCAGTGAACAAGACCCTGCCTTCTACCCACTATTCCCCCACATGGCTCCAAATTTAACCCACTCTCCCTGCCCCCACCCCAGAGTGCTGACGGCCATTGCTGACCTATATCACCTCCCTGGACCAGATGACTAAGACCTAGGACCAGCTTTGCCCCTGGTGGAGACAGATGGGACAGGGCTCCAGTCAGGTTAGGTTGCTGTGCCCCCAGATGCAAGGAGCCCTCGGAGTTCAGAACAGGGACCTGAAGGTCACATCCCCAGCCTCAGATGAAGGTTCAGCGGGCAAGTGAGGGCCGAGCTTTGAAGACGGAAGTAGTTCTAATCCTACATCAGCTTTCTCAGGAAGCACTAGTACTTATCTTGGGCATGCACTTTCTCTTAGAAATGCCTGTTTATGAGTCCTGGAATAATAATTTTTTTAAACACTTTGCTGCTTTTGTTCTGCGTCTGGATTCTCCTTTGTGCCAGATGGCAGTGCTGTCTGCCCATTTGCTCTAGGGGCGGTGTGGGCAGGCTCATTTTCCAGAGGGTTTTCAGATCATCTGCTTCTTTGCAGTAGACGTGTTTTGTTGCTAAGACCAGAGGAGCTTATTTTCCTTGTCCTCCAAACCCAGCCTCCCTTTAATGGAGCCCTGCCCATGAGAGACTCTCTCAGATGATACTCTCTTTTCTTGTCCTGGTCATGTTCAAAGCCTGTGTTGTAGGAATAAAGTCTGTTACTCCAAAAAGGTGATGACTTATTCTTGCTAACTGCTTTCATTTGTGTGTGAGGTGGGAAGGGGAGTGGTTTGCTTCAGAAGTACCCCAAAATCTTACTTTCAAAACTTTTGGTTTAGGGAGAGCTGGGCAGGGCTTTCCTAGGGGCCCTTTGACAAGCCCTGGAGCAATAGTGAAGCCAGCTCACAAATGTCATGTCCCGTTATGTTGGTTCCCTCTTTGGGCTCTTGTTGGGCCTCTGTCCTCCCTATGATCCTATGAGAGAATCTGAGTACCTAGGGTCCTAGCTACATACAGTCTGGGGCAAGGAAGACCCTAATTACAGTGCAGTCAGCTCTCTGCTTCACAATACAACTTACATGGTGCACCCATATGATAGTTCTTCCTTCCCCTAAATCATAAACCAAGGACTCACATCAGCAATGTAGTTTTATTTAAGGAAGAGGTGGGGGAAGGCTATGTACCTCTTCTTAGTCCTATCGTAAGTCAGACATGGGAAGCTGTTTAAAAGGCTGACACAGGGCTGAGAGGAGGATGACAGGGCAATGGACCCTAACCTCAGAGTGTTTCCCTTTACTGTACCTACACCCTGAGGACTTAGGAGGCTTTAGATCTCTCTGAAGGGAAACAGCTTTTCTGGTCATCAGATGGGAGAGCTGATGGCACCCAGCATTTACATGTCTGTGAAGACCCTGAAGTATCAAGAAGAGATCAGCCCCCCAAGGTGGAAGGGCTAGAAGAGGAATAGAAGGTCTCTTGAATGAAGGTGGGCCAGCCTGACCGCTCTCACATGGGGTACGGGTTGTCCAGTACTGCCACGCCGGCCGCCACACCTCCGTCCGCGTGCTCAATGGCTTTAGTGCGCAGCAAGTGCCCCACATGCTTGTTCATCACATGTGTCTTTCCCTGCCTAGAGAAGCAGGAGGACACACAGTCTGTCAGATGGCTTCAGCCCTCAAACCCCAGCTGAGCAGTATTTGGGTAACTTACTACACCTGAGAAAGCACTGGGATTTTAAAGTCAGATTTGGATCCTAGCTCAGAGATTACTACCTCTGTATCTTTAAGCAAGTTACTTAGCCTTTCTAAATATCAGTTTCCTCAATTTAAAAAAGGGATAATCCCTCTCATTTTGCAAGATGGCCATAAGGATTAAACAAAGCAGGAAAAGCTCTTAGCACATGCCAGGCTCACATTTCATGTTTTGTAGCTGTAAATTTCCATCTCTATGTCTCTTTCAAGAAGGTTGTGGTGGGAAGTTGGGTGGAGATGCTGTGAGTGGTTAGAGGAGATTATAGAGAGAGCAGGCTTTGATGGGAGCAGAGTAGAACCTGGTATCTCTTCCTTGCTCTAACCTTGGAATGAGTAATTGCCGGAAGTGGTATGATGGACCAGGAACTATTCCTTGCAAATTCCCAAGTTTTCCTCTCCTTTTTTTCATTCTCAAGTGCTCAAATCCAAATTCAGGGGCCACTCAGCTTTTCAAAGTCACCAAATATCCTCTAGCTGGCCCACTGCACCTTTCCTCAGGCTCCCCACAGCTTCAGAGATGGGCATTTCTTCCTCCCTGTGGTCTCCTGATCCAATGCTGTCATACCTTATTTCTCCTCCATATTGATACTACTTGGAATTTCTTTAATAGATGCAAAACACTTCTCATCTGGGTTTCCCTGCGAGGTAGGCAGGTCTGGGCCCTGGGTCTCATTTCCTAGCTAAGGAAGCAGATAGCCCAGCCACGGACTGGTGAGAGTTGCAACTGAAGCCCAGGGTTCCTGTTCCTGTCCAGTTTCCCTTAGGCTTGCTTGGTTGGCTCTCTGACAGAAGGAGCCCCTTCTACCTGGCTTACCTGACATAGACCCCGAAGATACCCAGTTCTGAGATGCACTGGACCACCCGAGCAGGGCTGCCAGGCCGCAGCAGGCAATTCCTAAAAGGCTCAGGTTGTATCTTCTCCATGAGGATGTAGGAGGCCCTCTCCTCGTTGTCCTTCAGCTGCTCCAGGGCTTGCACCATCTCTTCCCCATAAAGATTGTTACCTAAAATTTCATTGGTCAGTCACCTTGGCACCTTGCCCACTGCACTACTTATTGCCCCCACTTCTGTGACCATGTAGACAAGTCAGCAGCCTCAGTTCTTGATGCCAGGACAGAGCTGACTCCTGGGGAGGGAACATCACCTCAACAGGGGAGCCCTACTCCCAAGCGAACACCCCATCCACACCATCCTGCCCTGGCTCTCCACGTATCTGTCTATGGCTGTCCTTCTCAGGCTCCCTGAGGGACTCCTGCCCCTCTCAAGTGTGGGATCCCCCAGGAATTGGACCTCACTTTGTTGGCGCCTCCAGATACACACATTTTCCCCAGGGAGATCTCTTCTAAGGCTCCATCTCTATCTTATAAATTGTTAACTTCTAAATCTTTAACTCAATTCCTTGCTCTAGACACCACATGTATATCCCATGGATCTCATGTCCAAGCAGAATATATCAACTTGTCAAAACAGAGCTCATTTCTTCTGCCTGAACATCAACTGGATCTTCCCACTCACAATCAGATGAAAGGCATTCCTGAGTCTTAACTCCTCAGGTAACTCTGTCACCAACTTTGACCTAATCTGCATTCCACACTGTGATAGTCTGAGTCCAACTTTCTTCACTGCTCTTCTGGAAACTGCCTCCTCTACGGCCTCTCTGCCATCCATGTTTCCCCTTATTCTGGAACATGCTCTACCATGGATCCAGGATCAATCATGTGTCCTTTCCCTCTCTAAAACTCACAAATGGCTTCCTACCACCTTGTGTTAAGACCATATTTCTGACATATATGCAAGAACACCCTTCATCGTCAGGTCCCAAACCATCTTTTCCAGCCCAAATCCTTGCCATTTCTCATTTCCCACATTGCATTCCGATCTCACCAGTTACTCATTAACTCCAGATATACCGTCCTTTCATGGACTGGTATTTTTGCTTGAAGTTGTTCCTTCTGTAAGGGATGTTCTTCCTCCCCTTTTCACTCCTATCTATCCTTAAGACCAAATCAAAAATCACGTTCTCTGTCTGTGAGGCAGATATGCTCCCTGCCCTCAAGAAGTTCAAACTAGGCAGGAAGACATTCAAACTCCAGATATATCAGCACCCCAGGCACCTCTGTCCAACACTCCAATGCTGTTTAGTGAAATCCCCCTGCACCCCATAGAACTTGGTCACAGGGTCTCCTGGGACACCTATGGGACCCTGGGACTTGGTCACAGGGTCTCCCAGGCCAGGCCTATGTCAGTTCCTCTTGTATCTCCCAAAGCCTAGGATGGTGTCCATAGTGAATGTTGCTTAGCACTGGTGATAGCCTGCTAATCCCACTTCAAGAGCAGCCCTGCAAATGGGGAGCCAGGGGGCCACTTACCTCCACCCTCTCTCTGGGGCTTTAGCACAAAGCGGCTAGGGGCAGCAAGGGCCTCAGTGATGGCTTGGTCACCTTCTTCACCCTGAAAGAGGCAAGAAAGCAGTTATCGGCAGGCTTAGGCCAAAGAGGCAAAAGCTGAGTTCCTGGTTGTACAAAACAGCCTCAGAGGGAGAACAGGGGAGGGAAAAGCCATAAACGCTGACAAACCCCTTGCGGCCACAGCACAATGAGAACAAGCTTTCTCTGGCCAAGTGCAGGGATATGCAGCAGGTGGCCTGGAAAGCAGATACATTCCCAATTTTTACTATCTGCCTCAATCCCTTCCCATTGTTTCCATCCCCATCTCCACCTTTGCCGAGAAAGCTTACAATGGATTCCAGCTCCTACCCCACCTCCCCAGGTTCTTGGGGTTCTAACCCCACCTCCCCAGGTTCTTGGGGTTCTAACAGACCCCAACAGTGCCCACTCCAGCTTCCCCAACACACTGGGTTCCGGGTCCCTGCTACCAAGGGCGGTGATAGGAGAAATGGGCTGCCCACGCACCATGTCCAGGGAGTAGAGGCCAGCAAAGGTGGCACGAAGGCGGGCCACAGCCTCAGGCTGGTCAGGGAGCAACGCCTCCAGCATGCCCCCCCTGCTCAGCTCCTGCTGCACCTTCTTGGTCCCAGCCAGCTGGGTGGCAATATCGGGGCACTTGACAGCACATGACCTTTCGAGCAGGAGGCGTGCTTGCCAGTTCTGCGGAGTGGAGGAAACAAAGAATCCTGCTTTACTTCATTTTGGCTGACCTTCAGTCTTGGCTCAAAGTTTCGTTCTCTGAGCACCATCAGGTGTCTCGTATTTCATTTTCTAGCCTCACATCATTATCTCCGTGAAGCAGGTGTGGCCCTTTTCAATCTGCAGGGTTATCTCCATCAGGGAGTTCACCTTCTAGCACCATACCTGACTATCATTATGCCAAAATATGCAAGGGTGTGTGTGTGGGGGGGAATACTTGTTTATGAGCCTAGCTTCCCATTGTACTCCAAATAAAATCCAAACTCCTGTCCACAGCCCACATTCCCACAGGATCAGGCTCCTGGCTCCTTTCAACCTCATTCTGCTATCCTCTCCCTTACCCCCACATTCCCACCATACAGGCCTGCCAATCCTCAAAACACAGACATCATTCTCACCTCAGGACTTTGCGCTTGCTGCTCTTCCCTCTGCCTATAGTTCTTTCCCTTTCGGCTTTCCCAGTGAATGGTTAGATGCTTCTTATTCTTGTTTCTGTTCAAAGAAACCTTCCCTGACCACTTTTCAATTACGAGGTTTCCTCATAATTTTACTCATTTTTATCACTTTTTTTTTTTACTGGCACAGCCTTCTGTTTATTCATATTATTAAAATTGCAGTAGTAGAAATGAAAGCAAATTTAATGAAACTCAGGGGTGAGGTCATTAAATAGAGCTAAATGCATCTTAAATATAAATATCGTGTGTTTCCTGACTAGTATAAAGTACCTAATCCACCCAGAATTCTATGTCAGAGAAAAAGATCAGAGACATCGCCAAGTAGGTGCTTCATGTTACGGGGTCCGTTTCATAGCAGTGTGATCCTTTGGGAACACCAACAGATTTCTGCTTGTCCTTTAGTTGGTAATCCATTTATGTCTGCACTCATATAGTCTCCTGACCTGTTATCATCATCAGATTCCTGTAAGATTTTTGGGGCCACATACAACCAAAAAATGGGGATACCAGAGGGTAGGTATACAGCTCCATGTGTAGAGCCAGAGCAGAACTGGGCTGATATGCAGGGACCATGCACCACTGTCCCAGTCTTGAGCTCCTCAACCTGACACCATGTCCAAGTGGAAATGTCGCCCTTCCAGAGCAAGGGGTATGCAGCCTAATTCCCTATTTTCCCACACTGTTATTTCAAAGAATTTTCCCCAACTGAGAAAAAAAAGGCTTCTTTTGTTTCCTTTCTGATAGTGATCTCCCCGAACACACTGTGAACTATGTAAGTACCAGACCCTGGCTGTCCTGGCTTTTTGTTGTATCTCCAGTGTCTAACACAGTGAATGGCTCTCTGTAGATGGTCAGTAATTGTTGTTTAATGAGGTGAAATCTGAGCTGCAGTCGTAAGACAGGAAGTCTGACATGTGACTCAACACAGAAAAGGTACTTGTGTTAACAAAACATATGAACAAAGGCCTGCAGTATAAAGTACCTAATGAATGAATGGTCTGGAATGCCAGGTGTGTAGGTTGTAAGAGTGGGAGAAATACCAAAAAGTTCTGTCCCCCAGCTCTAGTCCTCCCTCTCAGGAACTGAAAGGACAGGCTGTCCTTGACTCCAGACCAATGCAAATTGCCCAAGTAGAATCAAGCCTATGTACCCTTTCTCCACTCTTCCACCCTCATTGTGCTGTCCTTTAATGATATGATCAGCACCTTTGGTCTTCAACAATAATTCCACTCATTTAATTACTAGGTTGGTGTTCCAGGCAGTTACACTGTTTTATGCCTTGATATGACAGAGAAACCTAAAGATGTGTCATTATGTTAGAAGCAGGGAAAGCAAAACTCAGAAATGCGCAGGGGTTTTCCCAGGGTCATCAAGCAAATCACAAAACCTTGCAGATTTATCTCCATGTTCTAAACCTGGTTTGAGCTTTTCAGTTCCCTAAAACTGTCCTCTTTATGCATGAATTTCCTTCCTAGTTAGTTCAAACTCTTCTCTTTTTAAAAAGTTTTCTCTGGTCCTTTCTTTCAGATCCCTTGTCCTACACCATGCATCCATTTTCCCAATGTACAGTTTTTCTCTGTTCCAGTCAGCAAGTTCCCATCACACTAACACTGTCTAGAAAAAAAGGATCTTCTACAGAGCTGTTATCTCTGTGGACTTGCTCCCTATACAGCTGGGCTTTAGGAATATTCCTATGCTCAACGGATTATTAATCTGGAAGAAGTGCCCTAAATTTTCCAGTGCAGTCTCCTCAATTTACAGAAACCAGGCCCAGAAGAGGGCAGGAATAGTCTCATGGTTATACAGGTAGAACCAAAGGATGATGAACCCTAACCTACCACTCATGGTATTTCCTAACTTTACTTTCATCCAGCTGAAACCATGGCTTCTTAGCCTCTCCATGCTGTCCATTTAGGGCCAAGGGAAAAGAATTACATACCGCAAATACCACTGGACTGAAAGCCAGAAAGCCTAGAAATTCATTATGGGATTCAGACAAGCGCCTGCAGCCCTCCAAGCCCTGTTTCTCCATCTGTATAATGGGGATAATAATATGCCTCATAAAGTGGTTTTAAGGATTAAATGAAATAATGGACATGGAAAATAATTTTGAAACTACAAGGTAGAAGAGCAAGATCAAGTGATAGCATCATTTCTGTGATTAACATGAATGGACAGGTGATAAAAACCTCTGACACAGATAAGAGAGGTAAGACTTGGAAGGCACCATTGTCAGTAGTGTGCCAGCACTGATTTGCATCAGCTCTCAAGAGCTGACAGGGGCCCATCTCTTCCCAACTCTGGGTTCAAAGATGTCAAATCAAGGTCTCCATGGTGGCCTAGGTTTGAGGCTCAGCGCTATCACCTCTACAACCTGAGTCCAGGCAGAAAGCTGACCCACATGGCACAGCAGACCTCTCCTGTCTTGCCTGCTGTTCCTCTTAAACAGTATATTTCAGTAAATCTGCCAGTTCTGTTCCCCACTCTATCTCTGGTGAATTCTCTCACTCCTCACCTCCCTGCTCTTCTGGCTGACACCCCAGTTCCTCTATACAAAAATTAAAAAAAAAAGTAAAATTGGTAGCCTAAAATTGGCCATGATGGGCTATTTACACCATAGAAATCCACAAACGGGGCTCTCCCTGGGGTGCAATGGGTTAAAGCACCACATTATGAAGCTCTACGAAGCCACTGCAGCATGAGTTCAATCCCAGGTCAGGGAGCTGACTCACATGGCACAGCCGACCTCTTCTGACCTGCCCACTGCTACCCTCAGCAGTGTATTTAGCATTCTGCCTGTTTTGTTCTCCCCTCTGTCTCAGTAAATCCTCTCACCCATCACACCTCTGGCCTGTACCCCAGTTCTGTAAACTTAAATAAATTACTTTTTTTTAAAAAAAGTAATCCACAAATGACACAAATGGGCCACGCCCACCCCAGAAAGATATTTGTTAAACATTTATCAGGACAAGTCTAGAAACAGTGTGAATGGCTGAATCATCATGACTGAAGACATTGTGCTTGTTTGTAAAGAATGAGAAGCATGGAGTTCCCTGAGGAAGAACTAAAGCCAGGCTCAGGGGCAAACCCAGGTTGTTGTGATGTCTGAAGTTGGTCTCTAAGGAGTGATGGTGGGTCCCAGGAGGCAATCAATGATTGAATAGAAAATACAAACCTGTAGACTGTACTGAGTGGGCATGTAGCCATCCCGGAAGTAAACCACAGCAATTTCCTGGCCATCCCTGGAACACAGGATGGAGAAGCTGCTGTGTTAATTTAAAACTGGTGTGTTCAGTGGTTCAATCCATTTCAAAGTGTATCAAAATGAATTTGGCTTCTGTGAAATTCAATCCACAGGGGCAGTCTAAAGAGAGGGTTCATGGGAACCAATAAAGGAGATACCCACATTGCCACTGCCTCTACTAAAAACACAGGGGTTACAATAAAAAGTGTTTTACAATATTCCAGATCTAGAATCATGGGAAGCAACCAGAATGAAATCATGTAAATTTTTTAAAATGGGGGCTCAAGCAGCAGAATCACATTGCCAAATTTAGCAAAACACACTTTAGCAAAAGCTGAAACCAGAAATTTTTTTATTTAAACTATGGGAGGTCTGAGGTGGGAATATGCAAAATTATGAGTCCAATTATGACACAGATTGTCTTTTGAACTTCTCTCCTTTTTCTTTGATTTATTTGATACTGTCTGGTTTATTTAGAAAGTAAGTTAACAACTTAGTTTTCTTGTGATAAAAACATTTTTGAAAATACTTTAGTGGTACTGAGAAATTTCATGAAGTTTCTTAATTTTAAGCATCACAAGAACCAGATCTAAGGTGTGAGTGCCACAAGGAATGCCACCCAAAAATGAGGTACTGAAGCCACCTGGTGGTGGCCCCTGGAAAGAAGCACAAAACCTACAACTCTAGGCCCTTTTATCTTGCCCAGAGGGCAGAGCCCAGATCAATCATGGAATGAGCCAGCTGCTCCCTTCCAACCCCTTGGTGGTGCAATGGGTTAAAATGCAGCACTATGAAGCTAGCCACAGCCACTTCAACACAAGTTCTATCCCTGGCCAGGGAGCTGACCCACATGGTGCAGCAGACCGCTCCTTTCTCACCTGCTGCTCCCCTCAGCAGTGTATTTCAGTCGACCTGCCTATTCTGCTCTCCACTCTCCTTCTGGTGACTCCTCTAACATCCCTGCACCTCTGGCCAGTTCTACCCCAGTTCTGTATGCATAAATAAATCTTTAAAAAAAATTTTTTAAAATTTGCTAGGATGATGGGATAATTCAGAATTCTCTCCTAAAATTCAGACAGGAGGGAGCAAACCATCACATCTCCCAGAAGAAATGATTAAGGGGAGTGCGTGGCAGAATTTCCCTAAGCCAGTCTTCTGTTGACTCCTTGGGAAAGGCACCCTGAAACTTACATAAACAGCTTCCGGTCTTGGTCTAGAGACGCTTTTACAGAGACATCTTCAAACCTTCGCCGGATTACATGGATGTTTCTGGAAAAGAGGGATAAGGATCAGAGGGAATGAATCCCTGTTCTGAGTGACTCTTCCCAATCCTGGAGCCACTTCTGGAGGTCTTCCCTCCTTTACTTACCTGGCCAGCAGTTCATTCTCTATGGCACGCTGGTCAAATATGTTCCTTTCCTTTTCTTGAGCAATCAGGAGCACCAGAGCACTGTGGAAAGAGCACAGATGCCCACGGTAGCTGCATAGCTTGTCCTAACTCCAGCCTATCTCTTTAGGGAGTGAGGACACTGATTCCTAGAAAGCCCTATGTTCTCTCAACTCAGGACTGCCTCAAGCACAGACATCTGAAACTATATAATACATTATTTTCTTAACAGAGGAAACTTGGAAAAAGGGGAGATATCTCTGCTTTTCAGAGGGAGGTGACAGTCATGTTAGTTTTCTGTATAAATTAAAATTTAGATTTAAGGTCATCTCAAAAACCCAAGAGGGCTTTATCTTTCAACTTAACATAAGGGGGCCCTCCCTTGTGGCTTGGTGGATTTGAGCACAGCAATGCGAAGCTGGCCAAGAACTTAGTATAAGGATTCAAAAATCTTTCTGTAAGAATAAATAGATGAGAATAGTGAATATTTTATTTAAAAAACAAGGCTGAGGCCTGGAGGCTAGTGACCCTATGATTAGACTGCACAGACTCTTGCATGAAACATTTAAATAACTCAGTGGAACCCTACAGAAACCCTATAGAGTCAGTTATAAATAAGGCATCATCTCTCACCATTTGTGATGGACACAGGGCCCCCTTTAGTCCTATAGTATTTTTTTTATAAGTTCTTTAAAAAATTTTTTTTTGACCTATTCATATAGAACTGGGGTACAGGCCAGTGGTGTACAGGCAGTGAGAGAATTCACCAGAGATGGAGTGGGCAGCAGTGCAGGCATAATGACTGAAATATACCACTGAGGGGAACAGCAGGAGAGACAGGAGAGGTCTGCCACATGGGTCACCTCCCTGACTGGGGCTCGAACTTGTGCTGAAGCAGCTGCTTCTAGCTTTGTGTGCTGTGCTTTAACCCATTGCACCACCAGGGAGGGCCCGCTCATTGAATTTTTTAAAGCACTTTTTTTACAGCCATGACTTCATTTACTTTTCACCACCACCTTTTAGGTATTATTCTGACCTCCATTTAACAAATGTCAGGAAAGTGTCACTCAGAGAAAAGAAGGTCATGTGCGGGGCCAGGCTTAGCTCAGGCACCCAGAGCGCCCAGCCCCTGGAGCCTGTCTGCATATCTGAGCCTCCTCGCCATGTTACTCACCCCCTGGCGGAAGTCTGTCTGCAGCACCTGTCCATCAGCAGCTCCCCAGCTGCCCTATCACTTGGCTTGACGCTCTTAAAATACAGCCTAGCCAAGAGTTCTACTTGACAGAATATTTCACCAATGAGGATGCAGTGAGTCTAAGGATTTTTGAGTCTTAATAAGGCTTAGCAGCTTCAGAGAGGCTCTTTTAGAGGCAGTAAAGGGACTAAAAATGCAGGTTCTGGAGGGAGTGGACCCTGGGCTCTACCAACTCACCACTTGCCCTACAGTAATTCACTTTATTTCTCTGAACCTTAGTTTCCACACCCATAAAATGTTTGTGGGACAGTATCTCCCTAACAAGATTTAATATGAGGAAGCAATGAGGCCCTGTATATAAAGCACTTAGCACAAAATGGGGCACTTGAAGTGCTCATTAAGGTTAACTATGAGTAGTCTGTTAACAATGCAATAACTGTTAGTGTAGGACCTCTTTTTTATCCAGAAATCACTAACCCAGTATCTTCACACATATAGAACACAGCTGAGAAATAGGAAGAAAGCAAAAAGTGCCTCTAAGCAATTAAAATAGACCCCATAAATTCCCTAGATCAAAGTTTATGCATTCACTCATCAAAGAGGCCCTCATAGTCTTTGGACAGAATCATAACAAGCCAGATCATTTGCGTTCCCAAAACACAGCACATTGGAAAGGAGGCATGGGGACAGGGGTGGCGAATTCCGAATTCAAGTACACTGACATCAGTAAGAAGAGAACAGCGAACAGGGGAACAGGGAAACTGACAAGAACTGTGAGGAAAAGGGCAACAACTTAAAGCCCAACATTTTGGGCCATTAGTACAGGCAAACAGCTGCCCATGCCTCTCTAGTAACTTCTCTGCATTACATCAAAATGCATCACTGACAATCGAAACACTATCTCCAGCCAATAAAAAGGTTATAGTCATATCATATTAAGAAATAAGTCCAGGGTCCTCCCTGGTGGCACAGCGGGTTAGGACCCAGCACAGCAAGCTGGCCACAACCACTTCAGCATGAGTTTGATCCCCGCCCCGGAAGTGACCCATATGGCATGGCAGACGTCTCTTGACCTGCCCACTACTCCCCTCAGCAGTGTACTTCGTCGATCTGCCTGTTCTGCTCCACACTCTCTCTGGTGAATCCTCTCACTGCCCTTGCACCTCTGGCCTGTACCTCAGTTCTGTATGCATAAATAAATAAATCTTAAAAAAAAAAAGAAGAAGAAGAAAGAAGTCCAAAGCTTCATTAATAATTTTGGCACTTAAAGCTTCTATTCTAGAAAAATTCCCTCAATTCCTAATGATGTTAGGCAGTGATCAGGTAAAGAAATTGCTGCACCCCAGAATGCTGAATCTAAAGCAGGGTTCTGCTGCCACTTTGTCACCCACTTACTTGGCTGAGCCGTAGAGCTCCCAGGCTTTGGCAATCCCCAGGGCCAGTCCCTTGCTGGGATTATTGGGAAGGATTTTGGCAGCTTCCTTGGTCTTATTCAGGACACCAAGAACATGTCTGTTGGAAGAGAGATGTTTGTAACTGGACAGACTTAGAAGAACCCTCTGACCGTGACCTCACAAACATACAGCAACATCATTTTGAGATTCAGCTGAGCATCGAAATGCATCTTAGCATTATGTTCCTGAAGAATCCACTTTAGGCTGTAATATGCTGGGGTGCCCTAACCCTGCCCCTGGTGAACACACCCAGAGGAACCCTGAGGTCTGTGTGTCCTTGCAAGCCTCCCAGTGAGCTGAAACCCTTTCCCTAAGGCCAGATGCTGCTGGGATGCTGCTATAGGCCATCTGCAACCACAGCAACCTGCAGTGTCGCAGGAAGCCCTGCAGCCATCTCTGCTTGAATTCTGACCTCTTTCAGACCTTCCAGCATGTCAAATTCCTTCTCTCCTCAGGACCCTTGTAAATACTGTCCCCTTTGCCCAGGGACTCAATTTATAAAATGACGGAGAAGGACCAGATGAACTGTCATCCCTCCTGTCTCTGACATGCCAAGACCTACTTACAAGTTGAAACTACTCTGTGGTGTGCGGGGTTAGGCATGCAAGACCCAGGGCCTAGAAGGGCACGGTCAGAATTGAAGGTCCCCACCCCTCCCTTACCACCGTGACTATAGATTCATTAGGGTGTCACTTCACTGGTATGCCCAGGGCTGCCCAAGAGACCCACCGATGTACAGCTGGGGTCCGGGAGGCCAGGCCCCCAAAGCTGGCAGAGATAGTGTTGATTTCAATCTGTTTCAGGGCTGGGGTACCATCAGCGTTGCACTGGAACATGTAGTCTGAGCGATTCAGACCCAGGAACACAGTCTGTGGAGAAAAATGAAGGCTGAGGACACTTGCCCAGAAGCTGGCTCTGCGGGCCTAGCCACGGAGCAAGACAGAGTGGAATCATCCTTTCGGTAACCTCCGGGTGGGCTGCTGACATGCACACTCGGAGGGGAGCAATGAGAGGCAGATTCCCACACATTCAGGGCTGTTTATCGGAACTTCTGACAAACCACAAACCTGGAAGGGACAGGTCCCAGACTGGGTGGCAGGGGAATGGCTACCTGAGCAATGCCCTCTTTCAGAACTTGCTTGTGGATGTCAAAGAGACGAGCGGTAAAGTCATCCCTTTTGATGGTGCTGGAGGGAAAACAAAACATTTTCTTGGTTAAGTGAGACCTTAAAGGTCAAAGTTTCACTCCTCTCCATTGATGATTGTTAAATCCTTTCTGACCCTACTGGATGGAACTTGAATACACACACCAAGCCGGTAAAAAATGGTGGCTGAGAATGCAAGCTCTGGAGCTAGTGACCTGGCTCACTACTAGGCAACCCCAGTCATTTCACCTCAGTGTGCTTCAGCTTGCTCTTTTTAAACTGAAGAGAAGAGGCCCTCCCTGGTGGTGGTGCAGCAGGTTAAAGCACAGCACTAAGAAGCTTAAACCACTTCCGCATGAGTTTGATTCCCGCCTGCCCGGGCGGTGACCACATGGCGCGGCAGACCTCTCCTGACCCGCCCGCTGCTCCCCTCAGCAGTGTACTTCGTCGCTCTGCCTGTTCTGCTCCCCACTCTGTCTCTGGTGAATCCTCTCACCTTCCACATCTCTGGCCTGTACCTAAGTTCTGTATGAATAAATAAATAAATCTTTAAAAAAAAAAATGAAGAGAAGAATAATTATACTAAGTTGCGTTGAGAAGTAAACGAAGCAATACATATACGGAACTGAAAATAGTATTGGTCCCAGGAAGAACTCAAAAATGACATGTGATGTAACCCTTCTATATTTGAGTAGTGCTGATGGTGGCAAGGCTTCCCGAGTCCCCAGCATTCACTCCCATAGCTCTCCCACACACTGGGACCTCTTCTCCATATTTTCCATGCCAGCCCTCAGAGGTTAAAAGACAGTAGTTATGCCCTGTGTCTCAGTAAGCCTTTTCTGACTCAGGATAGCTATTTGATTATTTTTTCAACCAGGCCTCAAAGGACATGATTTCCTCAGGGAGACCCTGGATCAGATCCCCTTGCACTGTGATCCTCTGCTTTACAGCAGTGATTGCAGGACCTTTCCTTTCCCCCTACCCATTCCCCATTCCCTTGTGTGATTATCAAGTGTTGGCTCTTGGCTCTTCTATTTGATTATGAACTGCATGATGATGGGGACCATGTCTACGCTGGCTCATCATGATGGCCCAGCATGCTGCTGTGAGAGGTGACATGGCTTCAGGAACCCCAGGAACAGCACCCATGGGTGAGTCAAGCCACACTATTGCCTTTCAAGATTTTAGGGCGGTCTCTGTGTGCCTCTTCATATCTGACTAGTGGGCTCACCTTGTTACAGGACCACTGAGTCCAAGTAGTTCAGACCTGCTCCCAAATTCCTGTTTTCCAGCCAAATGCTCTTGTTGGGTTTCCCAGTCCTTGGCAAAGAAGAAAGTCCCCAGAAGGGGTTCAACCCCCAGGAAAGTTGTGACACATTTCCCTTCTTCTGAAGAGGTACTTCACTGTTATTCTAGCATATGTGCTCATGGGGTGCTTCTCTCCTACCAGAATTTGTGTGTATGTTAGAATAGAAGAGAACAGGGAAGGTTGTAGAAATGACCCAAGAAGGTTTCTCACACAATTGTGTTTTTAAGTTAGGCTGCTCCTATTTCCCATAATCTGAATCCCAGTTACAAAAGCCAGGCACACCCCTGGAAAGATCTGGGAAGAAGGTGGCAGTAGTGCTCGTACATTCATGACTCACTGGGCTTTTAGCTCCATGTCAATGGTTTCCAACTTACTATTATGATCCCTTCTCATATCTACCCTCCACTCATGTGAACTTTAAAAAGAGATTTTGTCCATAAGAGATTGTTTTCTTTTGGGGCAAAAAAAAAAAAAATCAAGCATGCATTTATATATGTCCAATCTCTTTCTCACATACATGTGGACACATGTAATTATTTGACTCTAGTATAAAATTTTTTTTCTAGTTTTCCTCACTTTATTTTTTTTATTACAAAAATTTATTTTTACATCATTTTGCACATTTTTTTTTCCATCTCGATTGTAATCCCTGCGGGTTTCCCATCACCAAATCACCCGTGTGCCACCACCATAATCCCTTGCATTTTTCACCCCCCCCCATTTTTGATCCCATTCCCCACTCCACCCCCACAGAATGTCTCTGGTATATGGTTGTTCATTATTTTTGTTATTTTCTCGCCTGGTCCATTATTCTAGTATAAAATTTTAACTCTAAAATAAAGCAAAAAAATTAAAATTAAAGTAAGAAATAAAGTAAAGAAACTTCCCATGTCCCAGGAGCTTCGGGGAAGAAAGATCAAGGGAGAACAGACAGTGTGGTGGTAGCAGTCATTCAGGGACTCTGTTCTCATGCCATGTGGCCCACCACATCCCACCAGGCCAGGGAGGTCTGAGGTGACAAGAAAGGGTTTTTGCTTAAGAAACAGGAAACCTGATTTTAAATCCAGTTAACTTCCATGCCCTCTATTTTCTCTAAAACTAGTTTGACCTTCCCTAACTCCAGAGGGAAATTTCAGTGTTCAAAGGGAATTACTGATGGAGGAAGCTATTTGCACATACATTCAACAAGTGGTTAATTTCCCAAAGATATGAAGAACCCATACAGCTCATACAAATCAACACAAAAACAACCCACTCAAAAAAAATGGGCAAAAGAACTGAATAGATACTTCTCCAAAGAAGACATATAGATGGTTGACAGGCACATGGCACATGAAAAAAATCACTTACTGTTAGTGAAATGCAAATCAAAATCACAATGAGGTAACACCTCACATCTGTGAGAACAGCTTAGACCAAAAAATACTGGAAAGGACAAGTGAGGGCATGGAGAGGGCATGGAGGAAAAGGAACTCTCAATAACTGTTGGTGGAACTGCAAATTAATGTAGTCTTATAGAAAATGGTATGGAGAGTATTTTAAAAATTGAAAACAGAAATATGCTGAGGATACCACTCTTATGTATTTATCTGAAGAATACAAAAACACTAATTTTAAGATACGTGCACTTCTGTGTCACAGCACCATTATTCACAATAGCCAAGACATGGAATCAGTCTAAACATCTACTGACTGAGGACTAGATAAGGAATTAATGACTGAACAAGAAGCCCAGCTATTAAAAAAAAGATTAAAAAAAGATAAAATCTTGCCTTTGGCTACAACATGAATGGAATTTGAGGTGATCATATTAAGTGAAATAAGTCAGAACGCAAATGTAGCCTGTAAATAAACAAGTAAATTATGAGATATGACAAAAAAAAAACTCTTAGATGGTGAAAAATATGGTGGTTATCAGAAGGAAAGGGGAAAGGAGATGTTACAATGGGCAGAGGGGTCAGTTCGATAGCGGCATGGCCCTAGAACTTCAGTGGTAGATAAGGGAAGCTTATACTTATATTGAAGGTGTGACACTTCACTAGAATGATATAGCTTTGTAAATGAACAGTAAATTAGTAAAATTTGATTTAAAGAACCAAACAAAACAAAGCAGTGGTCACAGATCACAGAATCTGGAGTGCCTGCACTAGAGACATTAGATTTAGGCCAATCTCCCCATTTCACAGATGAAGATATTAAGGCTCAGAAAAAAGAAAAGAAACTTGTATTTGAGGTCATATAAGTAAATGGTAGAGCAAAGATTAGAAGCCAGCTCTCCTAACTTCTATTCTAGTACTTATTTTCCCTGAAGAGCAGTCCCTGTTTCCCCCATCAACTCAAATGCCAGACCAACTACTCATGGTTCTCCATTCTTTTACTCTCTTGGTTCTAACAGCTCCTGGTCCCCTCCCCCACATAGCCCTGTAGCATAGTACCTGGAGAGAGTTTGCTCCAGAAAGGCAGAATTCTGACTGACAGCATCCACTAGCAAGTTGAAATCCATCTGCACAGCATAGGCCTGCTCCAGCAGGGCACTGGGGACCAGTGAGGGGAAGAGCGTGAATGGGGCATAGCTCACCACCTGATGAGGAGAGGGGCAAGGATAAGCACCTGGTATGGGTTGTTTTCCTGCAATGTATTATCATGGGCAATGTGGGCCATATTTACTGAGAACATAGCAACTGGAGCCTCGTGGTTAGCTCTGGAATGGGAGCGAGAACAGGATGAGGAAGGCATAACAAGAAAAGTTCTAGATTCTAAAGTTTTGTCTCCTTCCATTAAAGACAAAAAGATCAAATTGAAAAAAATAATAAAATTTAAAAATTACTTGCTGGTTCAAGTTTTGTTTTTTTTTTTTTAAACTTTTATTTATTTGTGCATACAGAACTGGGATACAGGCCAGAGGCTCAGGGGCGGTGAGAGGCTTCACCATAGACAGAGCGGGGAGCAGAACAGACAGATAGAGGAAGTACATTGTTGAGGGGTTCAGCGGGCGGGTCAGGAGAGGTCTGCCGGGCCATGTGGTCACCTCCGGGGGCAGGCAGGAATCGAACTCATGCAAAAGTGGCTTTAGCTTCTTAGTGCAGTGCTTTAATCCGCTGCGCCACCAGGGAGGGCCCGCTGGTTCAAATTTTTAAAAATTAAAGTTATAAACAGAACCCCCCCAAAACATGGAGCACTTACTATGCACAAGGCATTGCTTTAAATACCTTGCAAGAATTGATTATGCCAAGGAAGAAACTATTATTATTTATAATTAATAACGGAGTCTTCGAGGAGTGAAATAACATGTCTAAAATTATACAAAGCTGTCAAGTGGGATTTGAACCAGATGGTTATTTAACAATACTCACACATATACACAGAGCTGCTAGCCAGTAGGTATCTATGCCTAGATCCCTCCCCATTCCAGGCACTTACACCCCTCAGTATCTCTGCCTTTTTCCTGGGGAAGTGTAAACTCTGGCCCCCAGAGTGGAAGTAAGGAGTATTTTTCCCTCGGGGTTGGAGATGGTGAGCCAGGTTGCCATGCCTGGAGTTCAGCTGTATTCTGATTTCTTTGTATTTGGAGAGAACCTGGAAAACTGTTCCTAGAAAACTGCTTCTAGAATTGTTTATCGATTTTAGATTTTAAGATTCCCAACAAGTGAACTAGAACTTGGGTAAAAGAGGATAAGATCTGGCCCTCCCTGGTGGCACAGTGGGTTAAAGCACAGCACTAAGAAGCTTAAGCCACTTTTGCATGAATTCAATTCCCGCCTGCACTGTAAGAGATCCACATGGCGCGGCAGACCTCTCCTGGCCCGCCCGCTGCTCCCCTTAGCAATGTACTTTATTGATCTGCCTGTTCTGCTGCCCACTCTGTCTCTGGTGAATCCTCTCACCCTCCACATCTCTGGCATGTACCCCAGTTCTATATGAATAAATAAATAAACTTTTAAATTTAAAAAAAAAAAAGAGGATAAGATGATCACTTAACTTGTTTTAGGAAGTGTTCCTGAGTTCAACCTCTGAGTTAATACCAGTTTGTCATTATGGTAGTACAAGTTTGGTGTTAAAAGTTGGCACTTACAGATTTACTTTTAAAAATAAATAAAAATTTGAAAATAAATACAATTTGAACAGATGTACCATAAAAACATGTGATACAAAAGGCAAAAGTGATAGAAGTATACATAGTGAAAAGTATGTCTCATCAACTATCCTTGCCCCAATGACCCAGTTACGCCTACCTAAAGGCAAGTGGTGTACTGGTGCCTCAAATAATCTTTTAGACATCTTTATACTGATGTAAATATGTACATATTTTCTTATACACATAGAATCATACTATGCACACATTGTTCTATCCTTTGCTTTTTAAAAAATATTTCAGAGTTATGTCCATGTGTGTTCAAATTTAGCACCCTTCCTTTTTATGGCTCTATAGTATTCTGCTCTTTGAATATACCAAATTTTTTTAATTGAGGCTTATATTGTGAATATTTAGGGGTTTCTTTCTGTCCCTCAGTTACTGTCAATATACATACCAGGTGTTTGGAATTTGTGAAGTCATAAATTACAAATTTCTAATAGTGAAAGTAAGGTAATTATGGTAAATCCATTTAAATTTTGATAGGTAATTCCCAAATTGCCCTCCTCTGCATCTCTTTTAAGACAGAGCTGAGGAAGGGCATTTGCAGGGGTAAGGATCATCCCCTCACCACCCCATTATCTCCTCCCAGGCTGAAGCCTTTATGAGTTAGCTGGGATTTATTGCAAGATTATGTAAGGAATGTTCTCATATTGAGTTCATGTTTGATGACTACAGGGGCGTTTCCTTGGCTATAAAACTCAGAATGCTGCTTCTTCCAGCAAGTCTTATCTGGTCTGAAAATGCACAAAGAATTTTTCTGTTAAGTCTTCCTACTGCCTCAGTCCTCAGGACATGTAATCCATTTCTATCTGGGATTGATCATACAAGAGGCTCCAGACTGTCCCTACACTACTGGCTGAAATACATAGTCTTCACTTTTGATTAAGACACAGACATAGAGTAATATTCTTCAACTATAAGAAAAATGATAGCATATGCTTCACAATCAGAGAAATGAAAAGCTCATCAGAATGAGGAGGAGAACATAACTCCTGAATACAGAAGAGGCAGAACTGTTCCAGCTGCTGCCACATACAAAACCACTTTCCTAGCTGCTAGTTGATGTGATGGGTACCTATATTTTTTTTAAATTTCATGATTACAAAAAGTTGGTTTTGACTTTTTAAAGACATTCTGGTGAAAAAGCTGTAAAAATGTTTGCCTTAGGGGGTAGAACAGAGAAAGGAGATTTAGTTTATACTGGATACCCTTTTGAATTCTGAATCCTGTTCCTGTATTTTAAAAAATAAATTAACTCCCTAAACACTGCAGAAGCCCTCTCTTCAGTCTGTACAGGCTAGTTTGCAGGCACAACCCACAGGATCAAGTTCATGCTCTTCTTCCGCCCTGTAGCCAAAGCCTCTGCCTGAGTCTTCTCTCCCATTATATGCCCTGAGTTCAGATATGTTCTTTTGAACGGTCCTTGCATTTTCTTACTTTGGGGCTTCTGCTATGCTGGTCCTTTCTGTTATTTGCCTTTTTAAGATTTAATTCAAATACCACTAATGAATTACATCCAGATGTCCTATGCAGCATCCTGGGAGATGCAGTAAAGCACGAAGTCTAGAGCACCACCCAGGAGGCAAACTTGGATTTGAATTCTACCTTTGTCGATTACACCACCATTTACATTATCTCAAGCAAGTTACTTAATGTCTCTCAACTTTGGTTTCCTCCTCTCTGTAGTGGTAAGGCTATTTGTAGTCTAAAAACATCAGAAATCACCAAAATAGCAACTATTTTGTAACAACACCTGGATACTATGCATCAGAATTAAGTTGACCCTAATAAGGGAGCTGAAAAGAGCTCTAAAACAGACGACAGACGGCAAACAAAAAAACCCACAAGTTAACATGTGTGATTCAGTTTGTTTTTTAAACAACTATGTATTTCTTTATAGGCATGTATATAGCATATGTAAATGCACACAGAAAGACCTAGAAGGATACACAACAACCAATTTCAGAAAAGGTAGTGTGATTAGGGAAGTCTTAAAAAGTAACAGCTCACAGCCCTCCCTGGTGGTGCAATGGGTTAGGACGCAGCACTGCAAGCTAGCCACAGCCACTTCCACGCGAGTTCGATCCTTCCACATGGCATGGCAGACCTCTCCTGATCTGCCTGCTGCTCCCCTCAGCAGTGTACTTCATCAGTCGGCCTGTTCTGCTCCCCACTGTCTCTGGTGAATCTTCTCACCGCCCCTCCACCTCTGGCCTGTACCCCAGTTCTGTATGCACAAATAAATCTTATAAAAAAAAAAAAATAACAGTTCACTAGGCAAAGTGCTTCATGTGAATTATCTTCTCATTTTCTTACCAATTCGACGTTAAGTCCTTATCCTTTTATATTTGAAGAAAATGCAGTTGAGAGATGTTAAGTAATTTGCTTAAATCACAATTCAAATCTCAGATTTAAATTTGACTACTCTAATGTGTTCAGTTTTTACATTGTTGAGAAAAAAATAAAGTAAAAGAGAAGAGGTCTCTGATCCAAAAGAACTGCCTCAAGCCTGGCAGGGGCAGGTAATTTCAGCAGGACTCTGAGCAGTGGAGTCACGGTTGTGTGTAGCAGGGACAGGAGCTTACATCTGAGGAGTTGGGCTCCTGGGAGGTTCTCAGCAATACGCCCTCAGCCAAGGCTCGGTCCACGGCCTGCCGTGCCAGCTCCTCCAGCTGTTGTTCATCCTGTAACACGTTCTCCCAGCCAGTGGCCATCCCAACCTGCAAAAGAAGAGGGGAGGACTTGATGACAGATGGCCTGGGGCTCTAACCTGTTTAAGAAGGAACAGTGGGATGCAGGGGGGTGAATGCTAACTAGTACCATCTCTTAACAATTTTCACTTACACAAAACAGCAAGCTTGACAAAGCATTTCCATTGCCACACTCTCTTTTGATTTCTAATTTTTATATTATTCTTATAATAAGGAGGTGGAGGCTCAGGTAAAATGACTCACCCAGGGCCCTCCCTGGTGGCGCAGCGGGTTAAAGCACTGCACTAAGAAGCTAAAGCCACTTCTGCATGAGTTCATTTGGTTTGAAGAATGGAACAAGACTACCCAGCTCAGTTGTCTCCAGGAAGAAATAACCTCCATTACATTCAGCGCCATCCTCCTCTCCCCTAATAGAAGTAATGCAAGAATAATTATGGAAATCTGTGGGCCTCATCACAATGCTTTCAAAGAATGAAGATGTGATGGAAAGAAAGTCCTCACAACATTCCCTGCTGGGTGATAAATAAGGATAGTGATAGTAGAGGACACAGCTCTGGAACCATTCAGACTGGAATTTGAGCCAATTAGATTACTTATTTTACAAGTAATGCAGTGTGAATTAAATGAGAAAAATCTGTGTGAAGTTGCTTAGCCATGTGGAGGTCTACACTTAGGAGCTTCTTTTTTGGCTGTACCCACTTCACAACAGCAGACGTCTTGAGGTCATGGAGCAGCCGGGTGGCAGAACCAGGATTAGAGCCTATGACTCTGGCTAAGCCTCCATCTCCCCACACCCCTGAGATTCCAAACATCTGTTATCGGGCTTATTTATTTATTCAGGTAAACACTGATTGGCACTTAATGCCAGGCCCTTGACAATGTAAGGGGTACAAAAAGACATAAAAATAACCACTATAGGGTCCTCCCTGGTGGCCCAAAGGCTTATAACAAAGCACTGTGAAGTTATCCATAGTCACTGCAGAATGAATTCAATCCCTGGCTAAGGAGGTGATCCACATGGCACAGCAGATCTCTCTTGTCTCACCCACCTGCTTCCCTCAGCAGTATATTTCTCTTCATTTGCCTGTTCTGCTCCCCATGCTATCTCTGGTGAATTCTCTTAGCACCCCCCCGCACCCCCCCCCCACATCTCTGGCCTATACCCCAGTTCTTGTATGCACAAATAAATAATTCTTTTTAAAAAATCACTATGAAAAATGTTAAATACACTTTGTTTCGCTCATTCTACAGCCTCAACCCTTCATAGGGCTTTAGTTCTATTTTGCTGATGACACTCAAATCTAGACCTTCACAATAGTGCATTCCTGACCCTCATTCTAGAATATCCAACTGCTTACTGGGATCTCCACACAATCACTATTTGCTGTTGCCATCCCCACAAATCTGCTCCTTTTCTGATGAACCCCCCACCCCAGGGATCTAAGCTTTGCATGTACTTCTCTACACTCAATTCTCCCCACATCCTGTGGATTCTATCTAAATATACAGTACAGTACCTTGAATTCCTTGATTTTTCTCCATCTCACTGTCAGGAGCCTCACTCTCCCCACCCTCCCTCCCTGGGCACCACACAGGCTCAGAGTGCGGTCTCTTCGGAGACCAAGATACATCAGCCCCTCTTCCTGTTATGGGCTTTGGCACCAGCTCAGAAAATCCCACTACCCCCGACCCGGGCTTTCAGAAACCGTCCCTGTTCTCCACCCGGAGCTTCTACAGCCCATTTTTCTACCCTCCACCAGGATCAGTGCCTGTCTCTATTGCTTCTCTACCTCCAGCTCCTGCTACTAAATGTTAAATGAATGATGAGTGAATGAATGACCCGGGCCAGAGTTTCAAAAGCCTTAAAACGCCCACAAGGAAATCGGTCGGACTTTATCCATGGGCGAGGTCAGTGCAAATGTGGGCCCGGTCTCCTGTGCGCGCTGCCTTAGCGAGCCCGCTCGCTCCCACCCTGGACAAAGTTTGGTCCTAACTGCTCCCCTCTTTTATTTTTTTTAACTGTAGTTTCATTGGCACGGTGTTCCCGACACCGGTCCGATCTTAAGTCAGGGGATCCAGGAAATCTAGCAGCCACGCGTATTCTCCCCAACCCCCCCCCACCCCCCCAACCCCCATTTCCTGGTCTCTGCCGCAGATATAAGCTGCAACATCTCCCAGCCTCCGGGATTCCAAGACTCCGCTAGACCCCCTCCCTTCCTCACACCCTTCCTTCCGAGGAAACGTGACCCTTACCGGCCGCCGTTGCCGCGCCTCAACGTACTGGTTTGTCCTACGGTCGCGCAGTTATACTTAAGCCCCTTGAGGGCGGGGCCTCTATGCGGCGCAGGGCGCTTGCGCGGACCTCCCCTGAGGCACTTAAAGAGCGGGGCGGGGGCGGTAACCAGCGTCTGCGGAGCTGGACGGCGGCCGGGAGGGCGCAGTCGGTGTGAGAGCAACTTTGGCTTTAGGACTGTGCGGGCAGGACTTTGAGAAGGAGGGGAGGAGTCAAACTGGGTTGGCGGGGAGCTATGGAGTTGTTTAGAAAGCGCCAGAGCTGGTGACGTGCAGTGTAAGACGGGGAAACTGATGCCCAGAGTGGGACAGTCGTACCTTGAGGACACACACTTGGTAGGGGTAGGTGTGGTAATAGAGGCTCTGAGAGGGCTGGAGACCACCGCGGGGTCCCATGGCACGTTAAGGGCCGAGCCACTGTTGGAACCCTGGCTTCAGTGTCCCCTCAGCTGGGTCGCAGAAAACTCACCTGATTTCCCTTCACCCGGGACAGCTGCGGGAGAAGCCTTGGCGGCAAAAGGAAAGCGTTTCATTTTTTGAGAAGTTTTAAGTTAGGAACGTTTGGAGGATCCAGGTTTTCCCAAAAATGTCCAATAACACTTGCATGAGGATCTGAGGCAGTTTTTAAAAAATATGTCGGTCTCCCACCTCCTCCCTTGGCGCACCCTCCCCCTTCAGTTCGCAATCTGAAGCACCTGATATTTATTAGTTGAGGCTTTGAGGAGTTAACTAGGGATAAGACACAGCCCCTGCTTTCATTTCTGATTAAGAAGGTAGACAGGTAAACCTTTTCTGGAGAGTTAGGGAAGGTTGGGGGAAATGTAGGTAGTGAAGGAAGTGGGGGTGGAGGTGAGAGGCAGAAATAGGGGTAGCAGGAAAAGAAACAGCAGAGGGACGACAAATAGATTGTGGCTGGAATTGTTTAGAGACAGGAGTTTGGTGTACTACTACTGGGTATGACCTGGGAATTCCAGCAGGCTGTTCAGTCTTGGGGAGGGAACCTTAGGCACCAGGTTAAGCAGTTTGGCATTTGCCCAGTGAGTGGTGGGGAGATGCGATTTAAGCAGTGAAGAGGCCTGGTTTGCTTTTGTGTATTAGGTGGTGGTTACAGTGTTGAAAATTATTTAAAAGTGAGGGAACAGTCCTGAGAAACAAGTTGGAGGGAGTTAAAGTGTGAGATGATTGGGCAGTGACTGGGGAGAATGGGGAGAAAGGAACAGATTAGAGGAGGAGCTGTGACTGGTTATAAACCTAGGGGCCAGGAGAGTTTCAACTTCTTCAACAGTCTGTCTACAGGACAGCCAGGAGGGCTTTCTGTCTTGTCGAGGGAAAGGAATGGATAAAGGCCTGATTATTTATGTAGTATTGTTCCTTTGTCTGGTTTTGTACCTGAGGTGGACTCTGAAGCAACAGTTACTATAATAGATCCCAGGTGGCAGGGGAAATTCCACCATGTTAATCAGGAACAAAGGAAGCTAGTTTTCTGTGCAGGTTCCCCTCTCCAAGATGAGTGCTAAATGATGTCTGTAAGGTGTTCACTGGTGAGATACTGGGAGCATCCCAGACCATAATGGCCCTTTGTTTGAGTTCCCTCACATGTGGCAGGTAAGGTGTCTTTATTCCCATTTTGTACATGTGGCAGCTAAATCTCATAAGTTATGTAATTCATTCAAGGGAACCCCCTTTATGGTGGGACTGGGAGTGAGGGACTCTTGATCAAGGTGGTTTTTTTTTTTTCTTGAGAGACTTTGTCCTTCCTGCTCCCTTTGTCAGGATGCTTTGGTTTTCTTTTTCATTAAAATTTAAAAAAAATTTTTTTAAACCTTTTAAAAGGACAGGCTTATTAGAAGGAGAAAAAGAGAAGCACCTGCTTAGTCATGGTGGCCAGGAGGGCTGCCACTATGCTTTGGTTTTAAATCTTAATATGACTGATTACCCCTTGTCCTTCAGATATTTCCTCCTCACATATTATCCCTACCCTATCAGTCTGTATCACATGTATTCTGAGTATTTTATTCACACCTGAAATTATTAACTTTATTTCCTTCCACTAGCTTCAAGAAAACAATTATTTGCTCCCCAGTTTATCCCCAGCCTCTGGGATGAGTCCTGTCACATAGTAGATGCTCAATATTTGCTGAATGATGGAAATAGGCTGGGAAGGGAAGAGGGTAAACCAGCATTAGGGGAAAGCGTGTTTCAGTACTTCTCATAAATTATCTCATTCACTCCCCTCATGGCCTTTCAGGATAGGTACTACATCTTCGTTGGGTAGGTAAGAAAACATGCTTAGTGAGGTCATGTCAGTGGCTTGTTGCTTTTGAAGCTACAGACTCCTTTGAGACGTCATTGGACACAACTTTTCACATACTGCATAGAGGAATTCAATGACCTCCTTGGATCTAATCAGGGCTCAATTCCTAAACCCAACTTTAGGGAACTTGCCAAAGGTCTGTCTGGCCCCATGCCCTTGTTGGTTCCTCATTCTGGCAAAGATAGAGTATATTTAGTGGAATAAGGGAGACTGCTGAAGATTCTGGAACAGAGAAGTTATGATTCACTGAGTCTTTGATGTCTCTGACTTGGGTTCAAAGCCTGATTCAACAAACTAGCAATAGGACTATGGGTAGATCTTTTGATCTCTTTGAATGCCACCTCTCTTTAAAAATGGAACCTATTTTTTCCACTAACAATAGCTAATCTTTATTGATCTGCCAACTAAGTACCAAAAAGCTAATGCTTTTACAGTTGTTATCTCACTTTACGCCACATTATCTGTGAGCTTAGTACTGTTAGTATCTTTGTTTTACAGCTAGGGACTTGGAAGTTTGAAAAGGTATTCCTGCTTGCCAACGACCATGGCAGCTTTATACTGTTAACTGATGTGCTGCACACATTCACCATGGGATGTGCAATGAGCTCAGACTTCCTGAAGCAGACTTTCGAATCCATTGCAATCTGTTTGTGGGTTTTGTGGGAACATTTTGAGTTTGAATTAGATGAGAAAAGGTAAGAAAGGCTGCATTACAGTGTGAATAGAGGTCAGTCCCTTAATTTTGTGCCTTGCCGGTCACCCTTTGAGGACCTCTGTTAAGCCAGGACTAGGTCTCTTGATTGGACGTATTTTGGTGGTAGGGTCTGCTTACACGGTCTGCATTTATGTACATGGCTGCTGTCTGTTTTTAGTAATGTCATCACTCTGCTTGGTATTCTTATCTACGAGGCTTTCTCCCATCTGGCTTGGGGCCACTGGTTGGCCATTGAGAATGGAATTCCTGTGTCTTCCAGTCCCTGCACTGGACCCTGCATTGGTGTTCCGGAAATGCCTGTGGAATCAGAGTGGGGACTTTCCCATGTGTTGGGGATTTACTGTTTGCCAGGCCTACCCCTGACACTTTATATGTGTTTTCTTATTTACACCCCCAAGATAATCCTGGGAGAAGTTACTATCCCTATTTTACTGAAAATAAATAGACTGTTAGGGTTTACCATAGGCTTTGCTTGTGAGGATAGAGGACACCAGGACTGACTGCAGTGTCTCTGCTCTCATTGCACATCATGGACTCTTGGGCTTTTTGAAGGGACATATTCCTTGGCCCCTAGGATCCTCAAAGGTCTTCCACAAGCAGGCTTCTAGTCCAACTCTCATTTTATGCATGAGCAGACAGAAGCCCAGAAAAGAGAAATGACTTATTTACATGACCACATACTTTTAGGGAGGGTAAGATCTGATTTTACTCACAGTCATACCATTCAGGCTGACATGCAGTACAAACTTTATATTTTATTTGTTATGGAAACATTGAGAATAGTATAAAGATTAGGATAACATACACCCATATATCTACCATTCTGTTATAGATCTTAGGCCTCTCCACCACTGTACTCCCCCAGAGGTAAAGACTCTCGTGAATTTGTAGTTTTCCTATACAGTTTTTGTATTTAGATTATAAGACATATACCATACAATTTAATCTTTTTTAAGTGTATGATTCTGTATTTTTAGTGTAACACAAAAAGGGCCACCACCAGCACAGTCTAATTCCAGAGCATTTCCTCACCCCCAAAAGAATACCCATTAGCAATCAATCATTGCCTCTCTCCAGGCCCCCCCCCCAACTAATCTGTTTTTTGTCACTGTGCATTTGCCTCTTGTAGACTTCATATAAATGGACTCGTGTATTTGGCTTTTTCTTTTACTTAGCACAGTGTTTTTGAGGTCACTCATGTTGTAGTGTGCACCAGTATCCCAATTCTTAGTATTCCATTGTGGGAATATACCACATTTTGTTCACCAATCAGCTGATAGTGAATTGAGTAGTTTCAACCTTTACTATTATGAGTAAATTTATTGCCATGGGCATTCACATGCAAGTGTTTATGTGGACTTGCAGGGTCACATGATATAACCTTATATTTAACTTCTTAGAAACTGCCAGACTATTTTCCAAAGTGGCTGTATTGTTTCACATTATCAATATCAATGTATGTGGCTTCTTGTTTTGTTTTTTTTTTACAACACTATCTGTTGCTTTTTTTTTTTTTTAATTTATGCATACACGAACTGGAGTGTAGGTCAAAAAGTCTCGGGGTGGGGGGTGAGAGGACTCACCAGAGACAGAATGGGGAGCAGAACAGGCAGATATACTGAAATAGACTGCTGAGGGAAGTGGTTGAGACAGGAAAAGTCTGCTGCACCTTGTGGGTTAGCTTCCTTGCTGGGGATCGAACTCATGTCAAATGGCTAGCGATAGCTTGATAACACTGAGAATTTAACCCTTGTGCCATGAGGAAGGCTGAACACTTGTCTTATTATGATCATACTAGTGGGTATGAAGTGATATCACATTGTGGTTTTAATCATTTACCTAATGATATTGAATGCATTTTCATGAATTTACTGGCTATTGGAATATATTTTTTCCCCTAACATTTTAAAAAGACAAGTTTATTAGGAAAAGGAGAAAGAAAAACAGGGGCACCTTCATAGAAGAGAGCTGCCAGCCATTGCAATATCTGCCTTGGAGAAATGCCCCCTC